TCTACAAGCTTTGCAAGTGGGACAACCTGAAAAATCAACAGTGTATCAAATACTTGTTCTCCCCACTGTATATATAAGAAACTGAACCCCCAGGCTCCCAGGCCTCTGGTAGAGGTTGAAGTGAATTGTAATCGCCCTAGAGTGTCACTATTTCTTCACTCACTGGTTTCTTATATGTAGCTGATTGTCTTTACTTATTTCTTTTAACTTCAGATTCATTGTAGTTTCTCTGATGTAAAATGTTTTCTTCTGTTCGTTTTAATGTAGCTCTTATCTGTGTTTTATTCCCAGCAGGACACCCAGCCTTCTCCTCTCGCCCTCCTTGCTGCCACCTGCAGTAAAATTGGTCCTCCTGCTGCACAGGCTCCTGCCACTTCTCCGGCGGTGCAGCCCCAACCCCGCAGGCTTCAGCCCATTAAACCGGCTCCAATAGCACCAGCTCCACCAAAAAACTTGGGTTTTCTTTCAGCAAAGGGTAATGTGATCCAGCTTTCTGCTGGTTTAGGGTCCACAGGCCCAGGCAGCCCCATCGTCCTGACGATCCAGCAGAGCCCTGCCCACAGCAACACTTCTGGCCCCGCCAACATCCAGTACCAGGTGGTGCCTCAGATCCAAGTGATGCCTCAGGGAGGTCAGATCCAGCTCATTCCAGGTACCAACCAGGCCATCATTACCACTCCTATGACTGCGCCAGTCCCAGCTGCTGCCACTGCACCGGTCACACCACAGAAAACTGTAGCTATCAAGCCCTCCCCTAAGGTACACAAGTCAAACAGCATAGCTGCAAATGTGGTTCAGCTGCCCAGTGGGCTCAGCCTTCCCCTTAATGTGGCTACTGGAGAAGTGGGAGGAACTCCAGTGGTCACTGAGACTGCAGCGTCCCCTCCCACACCTGGAAAAGGACGGAGAGGGAGAAAGAGGAAAGTTGTTCTGCCAGCTGAGCCTCCCCCGCCTGCTCCTCCACAGGCAGCCTCCCCACCCCCAGAACAGATGGAGACCTTTGTAATAGAGACTGGGGACAACATTTTACAGGTACAAATACTTCCTGTCCTCACTCACAGACATTGACTGATTTTAGTTTTCATTGGCTGGTTCTGACTTTTAGAAGTCAGGGCAGCTGATGGCCGATATCAACAAAGTACTTAAAGACATTTTTGATTATTATGTATCATTTATTTAACAAAGTTAAATAATGTGTCATTGCTTAGCTTAGATTACTAAGTTATATATACTGTGTATATGTATACTGTATTTAAGAACCTCTATAGGACTTGTACAGTTAAAAACAGGACAGTGCCTGCAAAAACTATTCACGCCCTTGGTTGTTTTAGGATGTTGTATATCAGTCATAATCAACTGGTCTTTTGTAAAAATAATTCAAAACGCCTTAATTTTTACAGTAAAATCAGTCTTCGACAGAGTTATGACAATTAAACAAGTAATGCAGGGCTGTACGTTAACTTTTTTAGCTCACAGTACTCGTGCTGCAGAGGTTGCTGGTTTTGTAGTAGGATGGGAAATCGTCCCATTTTCATATCATAAATCATGGTCACTGGCTGTCACTGATAGACGATCCAATCAGCTGATAAGGCATGCGCAGTTAAGTTGTTAAAAGAAAAAGAAAAAAGCAAGCAGGTCCGCTTATTATAAGCGACGGCTTCATTTTTTCTAAAGTTGCTTGTAAATACTGTGGTTATTCAGCGTTCGTGTTTGCACATACCTTTCATAGTTCCAGAGACCCCCGCACCAAGCTCC